TACACATTTACAGTACCTCATTGAGTGATGACAGTAATGACCTGCCAGTTTTAATAGATTTATGCAAGACACTGCAAGGCACAGGTTATCAAAAAGTAAGTAGTAGAGAAAACATATGACAGCATATAAGTTACTTTGTTGATGCCTTTTTAGTATGCTGTTTGCCTTTTAAATGGCAGATGTATACTGGACTAATGGCAATAACTCATGTACCCTTTTCCTGTACAGAGTCGCACAGCAGCACAACTGCTCTGTTCACTGTGTACTCATTTATTTTAAAATGTGCCTTCTGTTTATTTTCTTAAGCCCTCTACACAGGGCCATAGTGTTCCTCATTATGATCTCTGCATCTCCAATTTTGGTAAAAATAATTGATCTGATTTTTGTTGTTTTCATACAGAGAATCTCCCATATTTTTCCTTACTTTATTCACCTACTTTGTTTTCTGCCTCCTCTCTGTCTGTTCTGTTTTTGTCCTGTGCCTCTTCCATTTACAGTCACTCTTTCTGCTATCTATATTTTATCTGTTTCCCATTGTCTTTCATCTTCCTTCCTTCTCCCTCCTTATTGCTAACCCCTTCATTCCATCCTCAATTGCCCATTCACCTTTTGCTATCTGATGTACCTCTCACACTTCTGCACCCCAATATGCTTCACTCTGTTTTCTTTCCTCTTTGTCTCTGTTCACTTACTTCTTACTGCTCACATCAATTTGTTTCCTTTCCCCCTCCCCTCACCTTTGTATCTCACACTGGATGTCCTAGTGATGACTGATGAAGACAGAAAGGAGGTAAAGATGACGACAGGTGAAGGACAATGTCTGGAGTTAAGATAAACGCTGACTTTGTAGTTAATATTTTTGCAAGAAAAAATAATGGAAGAATCAAACAGAAAAAAATCATACAATTATTTAAGATTATTGAATCCTATGACTGAAAAGTTATAGCCCTGGAATTAATGAAGGATGTGTTATAAAAGGACTGTTTTACAGTTTGCTTAAAAATAGGTACTACGTAAGTAATGCAGAAACAAAAATAAAACCAAAATAAAGCTGCAGTGGTTCAGGATGCTGGCAATGTACACCAAGAAAGAAATGCCTCTGGAGGATGTGGAGAGGCTAGTGAAGGAGATGAATAGAAAAATAAGACCAGGAATGTATGCAATCACAACTAAAATATGAAAAGATGGTGAATCAGAGGTAGTAAAAAACCTGCATCAAGTAATTAGTGCAGGTTGAAAAACAGAGAAAGTACCACAAGACTGAGAACAAGCAGAAATTATTCTGTTACACATGGTGGAAAAAACAAGAGGAATGGAAAATGCCAGGAGCACCAGTTTACTGAGTGTACTAGACACACAGTATTCATTAGAGCAATTTTAAGCAGGACATAAGGCTATTTGGATAAGGCAATGGAATGTGGAGAAGCCAGAATGATTCTGAAGAGGATATGGGGTATGCTGATTAAATTTACCCTAGTATGAATGGCAGAAAGTGCTCAAAGACAGGAATTCACTTGTGTCATGCTTCCTAAAATTTAGTCAAGCATGTGGCATATCTACTGTACAGTGGAGTTTCTTACATTTTGTTAGTTTGGCCACTTCTGATGGTATCCCCCCGTAGTGGCTAGATTTTTGCCCCCCCATACTCATGCTTTTGGTGGAGTAACTTATTCTCAAGAGTTGTTCCCTTGCCTGCTCAGAAAGCATGAGTACAGGGGGCAAAATCTAGCCACTAACAGGGGATACCATAACTTAGTACAAATGTACAAAATGTAACAAACTTTTAAAATCACTAACTCTGGGAGTGAAGGACTACTCAGCATGAGTAAGGATGGTACAAAAAACTTTCAGAATGGAATACATTGTCTAGGTGTGTATTTATTTAATGGTTGCCATCATGAATGCATACACTTCACTGTCTGTCAAAGATTTCAACCATCTTCATATCCATTTTCAGAGTAACAGCCGTGTTAGTCTGTATTCGCAAAAAGAAAAGGAGTACTTGTGGCACCTTAGAGACTAACCAATTTATTTGAGCATGAGCTTTCGTGAGCTACAGCTCACTTCATCGGATGCTGCACGAAAGCTTATGCTCAAATAAATTGGTTAGTCTCTAAGGTGCCACAAGTACTCCTTTTCTTTTTTCATGTCCAGTATTATTTCACTGTCTGGGACTTATTTTTCCCACTGATAATCCCATAGTAATATCAATGCATTTGTATTTCTCTGTGATTTCCCCCCAGTATTTTAAACAGTTTAACTATGTAACCTTTGTGGCAGGGAACACTGCTTATCAATGTTTAAAAGGCACATTCTAAGCTCAATGTTTTACAATGGTGTACATTAATAATTACGATAGGAGATGGTAGCCTCATGGGATCAGCTAGAAATATGGCTCACATGCCTAAAATCTAACAATTTTCAATGGATGAAAGTGAAAGAAATATTCTCTTAATTAAAACATAAAGTAAATATGCAAATTTGCACAGAAAATAAAACTTAACAACAAAAGTAGTAGAAAGGAGGAGACTACAAAGTGCTATAGACTAGATCTATTATGGAACTCCCACCAATGTCAGTGCGAGTTGCGCATATGAATCTAGGGTAGATATGACCCTAAGAAGCAGTTTCTTCATGGCTTTGTGCAATTGTCTTGAGCAGGAGGACAACACAATAGTTTACCTTAAATACTGGGGGGGAAATACCTTAAATATTGGGAGGGGGGAACCCTAAATATTTTACTAGAGGGACAATTTATCTTGAAAAAAGTTGTTATATTAAAGTAGCATAATTTTTAAAAAGTGTATAGTTTGCTTTCATAAAAGTTTAAAAACCAATAATACAGAGTAAGAACAGACAGGTAGAACTGCACCTCGAGTAGCTGAAGGTGTTTCAACCGCCACCCTTATTACTCAAAATATATACATTGTATTGGTTTCTGCTATAAATATATATATATGACATATATCTGATATAAAAATATAAAATGATATATATCAGAAACCAATACAATGTATATATATATATATACACATTGTATTGATTTCTATTATAACTGCACACTTTGTCATGTACTTAAGCCCCTTCGTTTTCAGTTTGAACTGATTTTTACTGAAAAATTCCCAGGTTTTACAAAAAGTATTATTCATTTTTTTTCTGATTTCCACCCTACTTTTATATCATTCAACTATATAAAAAATAACTTAGTATTTTTAAATGCAAAACACAGCTCCTGTTGGCTTCATTTGCTCAGCACTTCTGTAAATCAGAATCTGGGTGTTTGAAATAGGATGTCCAGAAGAAGAGGAACACACAGTTAGTGACCACCTATGAAAAGTGTGGTTTAAATGATTTATCCAGCATCACACAGGAAATTTCTGGCAGAGGCAGTGATAGAATGCAATTCTCCAGAGCAGCATTCAATTGCCTTAACCATGAGACCATAATTTCTCTCCCTGCAGTCCCCTGCCTCAGTTGCTCCACACCTTTCAACTTCTACAACAAATGAGGCAGGGGTCTGAAAGCCAGCATCTTCATTCACTACACAAGTCTCATTAATTCCCTGAACACTGTCCTTCCTGTGCTCTGAATAAGGCAGAGGTCCTGTGGAAAAAGAATTTGTGATAATGTAAATGAGTGCAAGGGGAATATATTAATATTGTATGAGTAACCTTAATTCTGGCATTTCCTAAATTTGAGTGCTTGACTTTGCAACCTAAATCACATTTTTATAAGTTTTTAAAATGTAACTTCTTAGATTTTATAAAAGATAAACTTAAAAAAATGGATCATGGATCTAGCCCCTATGCTAGAACCATATTGACCCCTGCACGGTTACAATAGTGCTGATATTACTTGAGTTAATGGAGTAGCTGGTAGTGGTAGTACGCTGTTATTTTTTATGTGAACTGGCTCACTATATGGGCAAGAGACATGCAAGAGCTTTAAAATTGGGTTTCCTCGGGAATCTTAGGTTCATAGATTCATCGATTTCAAGGCCAGAAAGGACCATTGTGATCATGTTGTCTGACCTGCTGTATAACACAGGCCATAGAACTCCCCCAAAATAATTCCCAGAACAGATCTTTTAGGGGAAAAAAATCCAATCTTGATTTAAAAATTGCCAGTGATGGAAAATCCATCATGAATCTTGGTAAATTGTTCCAGTGGTTAATTACCCCCACTTTAAAGTGTTTATGTCTTATTTCTAGTCTGAATTTGTTTAGCTTCAATTTCCAGCCATTGAATCCTGATACACCTTTCTCTGCTAGATTGAAGAGCCCATTGTTAAATATTTGTTTCCCATGTTTTTTGTAGACTGTAATCAAGTCACCTCTTAACCTTCTCTTTGTTAAGATAAATAGATTGATCACAGTGACCTGCTCTCTTCATTATTTACCATTTCCCCAATTGTTGTATAATCTTCAAACGTTATCACTGAGAATTTTATGTTTTTCTTGAGCTCATTAATAAAAACGTGAAATAGTGTAGGGCTGAGAACTGATGCCTGCAAGACCCTACAGGAAACAAACCCTTTGATGATGATTCCACATTTACAATTATATTTTGAGACCTATCAGTTAGTCAGTTTTTAACCCATTTAATGTGTGCCTTGTTAGTTTTATATCGTTCTAGGTTTTTAAATCAAAAATGTCATGTGGTACCAAGTCAAATGCCTCACAGAAGTCTAAGTATATTAAGTTAATGCTATTAGCTTTATCAACCAGATTTGTAATCTGGGTTTTATCCCAGGTTCTGGAAGGATGTTGGCTGTACTGTTTATAGACTCATCTAACTCTTTCCACCTCCTCCCCCACTCTGCAGCTGTCCTCTAGTATATCTTACCTACTGCCCCTTCTGTTCCTATTTTACCTGCTTCTATTCCCCATAACCTGTTCTTAACCCCCTCTTCTCCTATCACCCCCTCCATCTGCCCCTATCTCTTCATCCCTCTGTATTCAAGACAAAATGCTTCCTCCTTTTCCACCAAGGTGCCAGCATGAAGAACATTGACAACACAGGAAAACCAGTTGCCTGCTCTGTTCCATTGCCCAGTGCCCGAACAGCAATTGCAGGCAGACAGCAATCTCTGAAGCACATCTCTGAAGTCCGTTCTCCAAAGCATGAAAGTACAAGCGTTTTTCAATCAAACAGCTGTAAGAATTTTTTAACATTGGCAAAATAACATATTTCTCCCCAAGCTCATTCTCAGAAATAACTGAACTAGTTTTTTGAAGGTTAAAAGAAAAGAAAAAGACAAAAAATTCAGCCTGTGGCATATAGCTGACATGAAAAATTTCAATAAGAATTTAAAATTTTGCAAAGTTATATGAAACTAAAACAAGGTCTTACAGTGGAAAGTGTTAGACAATATTAACTATAGGCATTGCTACCAGCTTTGTATATAATAGACCATAATATGTATCGATGTATGCATAACATGTACAGAGTTATTCATATACATATGTTTTGATATATATATTAATTACCTTTTTGATATACGTATTAATTACCTTTTCTTCCTTTCTTCTTTCCTTTTGCACCCCAGATGTCAGTTTTCTCCAGATGCACCAGATATCAATAAGTATGTCCATTTCAGTGCGGCCCGTTGGTTGGAATTTTTACAGAAATATGGATAAAATCATAAAATGAAAGAGTTTAATCACATACACCTCTAGAATGATTCTACAAACAGTTTAAGTAAGATTCAAGTAAGTAAGATTCAAGTAAGTAATTTAAGTAAGTAAGATTCACTCACCTAACACTAGATTTAGAATTGCAGAATGTTGCAATTTTACCCATTTGATTGGAATTTGGAGAGAGATTTCTGGAGAAATTTTGTTGCGCAGTTATTGATTTATCAGAAACTATACATGAAACAAAGATTTTCGGCCAAATCCTCAGCTGGTGTGAACAAGCATACCTTCAGTGGAGCAGTGCTAATTTACACCATCTGAGGAACTGTGCTGTTGCCTCCATTTTAAGGTAACAGAATGAACTAAGGGGGAATTATTTACCCAGTGTTCAATAAACAACTACAAATGAGCTCCATGGGCTCAAGTAGTGTCCTCTAGAACTCTTCAGCAGATTCACAACATGATTGGCTTCCAGTTGCAAATAGTTCATTAGTTCTTGAGGGTGAAGGCCTTTCTTTGCCCAAGGCAGCCATGTGGCATTTAAATGGCTAATCCCTCCCATGGCTGGAGCCAAAATCCCTGTCCATCCTGAAAGCCATATGTGGTAACTGGAGTTATTGAGGGATGACCTTAAGAGAGACAATATTTGGAGAGAGCAGAGGAGCAGATTCTTGTCCATCTGGTTGACAGCCGGGAAGACTGAATAGATCACGAGGCCCTTTATCATCTCCTGGCTGAGGTCTCTGAAACTGAGCTGTCATTCAGGTAGAGAAGATGGTGCCAATAAACTTCAGTGCATCCAGCTTCCCTGCCTGAACTTCCCTCTTCATGGTGAAATGACAGAACTGTTAGTCTGTTCCTCTCTTTCTCCACACGGGACCCATGGAATGATTACTGTAGCCCTTAAAGTTATAAAGGATGGGCCAGGGAGATTATTTACATTAGTTCCTTGTCCACCCTTCAGCATCTCAGTAGCTCCTGGCCACAGTATGAGCCTGCATCTCTTTCTTACCTCCATGCAAGCAGGGCTCAATTGTTTATTATTTCCCGTTGCTTGGACTGTTTCTTTCCTTTCTCTCTAGTTTCCCCCAATCCTAGCTCTATAGACTCCAGGATTATTCAGCTCAATGTGTAACTGGTGTAGGCAGTCATATGAGAGTTAAGTGCCCATTGCTACCATGTAAACTGATTCACAGTTTGTTGCCCTTTTAGTTTGGATAATGAGGTACCTCCCTTTGTTCAGGTCTTAAAAGAAGTGAATCATTTTAATTTGTCTATTACTAGTAAGTTTAATTTTTCCTTTATTTGATCTTTGGTGTTTTTAGGAAATTAAATGCAATTAAATTTAAGAAAAAATAATAGCTGGATGGAATTAAAAGCAGATTCTTATGACTAGTAGTAGTAGCAATCTGTGAACTACTGATGTATATGTTTAATATCTCCCTTGAGACTGGGGAAGTTCCTCAAATGTTGAAACTGGCTTAAATAATTTAAATTCATAAAGGTGGTGAAAACTCCTTGGCTAATAATGTTAGACTGACTTCTTTGCTTCCAATTTAATCAAAAATTCTTGAAATACTTCTTAACTTATGTTGACTTATGTGAATGTCTTATTCTACTGAATGGTTGGCATCCTTTACAATGTGGCCTTAGAACAAATCAAGCTAATATTCTCATGTTGCTTAAAATAAAAGTGACTTTTATCAAGCAAGTGATCATGTTGTTTGACCTGTACTATGTTTGCAGTTGTGTACAGAGCATGCAAAATATCTGACCACTTTAAATAATTTCTAAAATTAAAGGGTGTGGGTTTTGTTTTAACTTCACATAGCTGCAGTGTCTTGAATCCTATTTATTAAAATGTCTCCTGTTCACTTCAACAAATCATTTTAAATCTAACAGTTATGAGTAGGATTCATTTTATCTCCTTTGTTGTCTGGTTTTGGAAGCCATGTAGACAAATACTTGTAGACTATTACCTAATAAATATTCCAATGTATTGATAATTATAGATAGCCTTACCTAAACAGATGGTGATACTAGTTTAATGCTGTCTTTAGAAATAAGAAATTGAATTTTAAGAGCATTAAAACTGTAAAGTAGTGTGTGTAGTATATTTCTTCAGTGAAGCTTTCATCTCCTTTTGCCTGTATTTCCTTTCTTTATAGTCTTCAAATTTCTAGCTTTCTAGACTTTACTATGTGTAGAATGTTGCTACCTTCCTTTTTACACAAAGAAATAAATGCAACCACACCATACCACTCTTAAACAACTCCAATGGCCTTCATTGGTTTCAGGATGTCAGTATTGCCATGCTTGTTAAGATTCTCCTTGGATCTTGCCTCATCCAATACTTTAAGATTCTTGACTCTCCTTATAACCTCCTTTGATGTGTTGTTATTTATCATGTGTGTTATCTTAGCGCCTAAGAGCCCCAACCATGGACCAGGACCCCATTGTGCTAGGCAGTAGTCAGGTCTTTTTGTCCCTTCATATAATCTTGCCTCTGCTATCACACATATCTTTTACTACTAAACTATTATTGGAAACAGATTTCTAGTATCTTTTTAGCGGAGGTTTGGAAACAGCAGAAAATGTTTTTCTTCCTTCTTTACAGAGCACCTCTTGCTGTTCCACTGCTGATATTAATACAGCCTTGCAAAGCATTTTGGGATACATTTTGTTTGGAGCTGCTATAAAAATGAAGCAATATGGTATTGTGTTTTTACAGTTCATGGAGAAATGAATAGGTAAACCGCAATGTGGATTTTAACAGGAACGAGGCATTACATAATAAATATTAAGATCGTAGAGCAAAGTAGTACGCAGTAAATATAACACTGATGAGACTAATCCCAGTACATAGTCCAAGTAACTGGACTGTACACTGTGGATTTACAAAGGGAAAAGGTAATCCATTTCAAAGGCTTCCGGATCTGAATAGCAGAAGATTCACTCTGTAGCCACTATTGAGGCCTAGGGGGTATAGAAGTCCCTACTTCGGCACGTTTCCTTCACTGGTAAGATACTACCAGCTCTATCTACTCCAACTTCCAAGCTCCTCTGTGAGCTATAATGAAAGCTGCATGAATTATTCATATCTTTTTTTAAACTAATATAATCCTGCTTGTATTTCAAATTATCCAGGAGCACACTTGATATTACCTGCTCAGTTTGTTATTCACAATTATTTTGGGGTTATAAAAATATATTTCAGCCTATGGATTTTGCATTATTAACTCCTGTGACTATTACTTTTTTCTGTTCATTGTTCACTATTTGCCCTGTTTGATATTATTTCTGCTTCATGATTCGCGAACTCCAAAATCCACAAAGAGATTTCTCTTGTCACTTTGTCACAGCACTTTCTCTTTCCATGCACGTTCATAGGAATAAAAATTCTGTTATGAGCATTGGACGAAAGAGGTCAGGAATCCTGTGAAAGGGAATTTATTTTTATTTCTACGAATACTGTTTTGTCATGGTCTCTGATGTGGCTGGGACTCAGGGTGTCCCCAAGAATCAGAGCTCCATGGTGTTTCAGGTTCTGTGGATCTGCCTGTGTGGTATCCTTGCACATCTGTCACAGGAGTAGTTTGGGCCTGTCTTCTCTCTTCTTGCTCAAGTGCTGCTGAAGCAGAGGGGAAAAAATTGCAGGGACTCTATGGAATGTGTATATTCCATGCACTACGTTGCATACTTAGAGATAGATATAGCATGGAGTTGTCTTTGCAGTAGAAGCTGAGGTCATGGAATGGGCATGCTCAGCAAGGGCTGAACATTTTAACTAGCAAAGCTGACCTGAATATTAAGGTGGGTTGCAAAACAATTTTTTTCTGCTTCCCCTGAAATTTAACCCTTTTTTGTCTATGATATACCAGCACTTTGCACAGGGCTAACCTAAAGATTTTGGTCTTGAGGTGATTTTTTGGGGATATATTTAGAAATTAATAGAATCATTTGATTTACTCTCTCATTTTTGATGTCAGTTTATGTTGGGTGACCTATAGGTTACATCCAGCTTTGAGCTGGATATTCTTGCTGATTGCAATAATTGATTTGCATCAGTTTACTTTTTCAAGGCTACCTTTGAAGGATCAGGGCTAGAAGACAATGCTCTTAAATGAAAGACAAGATTCGCCTTTATAGGGCTTAAAGGCTCATTCTTTTAACAAAGGGCTCATATGAGCCTGAGAGCCCCTCTAGACATTAACTCCTCTGTGACTTTCAGCAGTTCATGTTACATCTGCCTCAATTTTTCCATCTATAAAATGGTGATATTATTATTTACTTATAAACTGCTTTGGACATGAAAGATATTCAAATAGTGGCTACCCTTTTATGGATGCTTTCACATATTTAGACATTCACTGACCTCTTTTGTGCGTGTAAACATGCAGGTGCAAGAACAGAGGGCCAGTGAAGATGCGGCTGGAGATTAGTGTTTAAAAAAAGAAAAAAGGCAAGCCACAGCATGCAAGTATTAAGTGTCATCTTATTTTACTATTTTGAACAGATATATGTATCGTTCTCTTAAATGATAATTTTGTGCTAAAATTTTATCACATATTCTTCTTAGCAACAAGTCTAGGGTTACCATACGTCCGTATTTTCCCGGACATGTCCGGCTTTTTGGTTCTTAAATCGCCGTCCGGGAGGAATTTTTAAATATCTAAAAACGTCCAGGATTTTGCCATTATTATTTCTCCCCAAAGAGAGTGAATGTTGATCATTCGAGAAAGAAAGTGAATGTTGATCACTCGAGAGAGTGCCCGCTTTTCCTCCCAGCTCCCAGCGCTTGTGCCGCAAAACCGCTATTTCACGCAGTTGGGAGAGAGGGGGGAGAAGGGGGAACGCGGTGTGCTCAGGGGAGGAGGCGGGGCTGGGGTGGGGATTTGGGGAAGGGGTCCAATGGGGTAGGGAGGGGGCGGAGTTGGGACGGGGACTTTGGGGAAGGGGTGGAGTTGGGGCGGGGCTGGGGGATAAAGGAGGGTGCGAGCAAATACGCCCCTTCCCCCCACCCCCGCTGTGGAGTGCCCTCTTTTTTTAGTGTTCAAATATGGTAACCCTAAACAAGTCTGTCAGGAGCACATTTTGTTCAAATTTGTAATGTAATTGCTGGACTAAACATTGCTCATGAATTTCTTCAGATACGTAGCCAATAAGAAACTCTTTGCCTATGTGATCTTTTCAACTGTCTTAGAGACCCAAATGAAAAATTTTTTATATATCCCTATTCTGCTATTTTTTAATTTCTGACAAATACAGGACAATATGGGCAATTTCCCCCATCTAATACCTATTTTAAGAACAATTTAATAATTATTCATTATTTGAAATAGTCTTTACTTTATTGAACTGTTTGTAAATAACCAGGATGAAAGAACACAGCTGAATGAAAACTGCTTCTACAAAATCTGAGAGACTGTATCATCGTGTGGAGCGGCACGTGTGCTCATTGAAATAAAAACTGTGTCACACAATGGTTTTGACTGAGCTATTACTACAGGGGAAAAGCCAGCTTTTATATCTTATCTGTTGACCCCCTCTCTCTCTCACACACACACACACACACACACACACACACACACTAATGCCCACTAGTAGGACGCTGAAAAAAGAATTGTCAATCAATGTGATCTTCTAAGGATGGCAGGCAAATTCATCTCCACAAAAAGTAATAGGTATCAATGTAATCAAAGCTGAGAGTAGACAAACTATACTATGCATAAGAACTAAAATTCAGCTAATTTTTGGTTTGGGTTGGAGTGCTTAATTTTTTTTAAGCCTGCAAACAGTTCAGCTCAATCTCTCTCAGCCATTCTCTGCCAAGAGAATGCATGACCCTTTGCTTCAAAACATAGAACTTTAGCATATGCTGTTTACAGTTGTTACTTTCACCATAACAACACTCAAGGGAGCGAAGATTCCCCCTGTATACGTTTCAGAAGTATTGAGGTCTTCTGCAACTTCACCCTTTTAAGTAGTTTCTGATAATCCTAGTGTGAAATTACAGAAACAGCAGACCCTGAATCAAGCTCCATTTTAAATCTTATCCCTTCTACTTGCAAAGGAATCCAAACAATACCTCAGTTGTCTTCTAAATTAAACAGCTGTAGAGATGCTACAGCATTCTCCATGGATTCCATGTTGCCTTCTGTAAACTAATGAATCTGAAATTCTCTGGTTTTGCCCTTGTAAGGTGGTAGTTGTGCTTCTTGCACTGACCTGCACATCTTCTACATGTGCTCCAATTTCTTGCAGTTTCTACAGGACTTGACTTTGAGCCAACAGTCATTAGCATTATGAAACTGTTTGCCACCATAAAAGCAAACAACCTTTGAGGTTTTTTCATGTTGTCCTTTTTGCTTGACCCCCCAGTTTATTTGTTGCATATATCTGATGCTGTTGCATCTCTCTGGCATCTTTAATAGCAATTTCAAGGGTCAAATCAGCATCAGTCAATAACTGTTTTGGGATTATTTCATTTTACATACCACACACTAACTGGTCCCTTACTACATCATTTAAACTCTCTCCATACTGGCTATGCTTTGTTAAATTCCTTAATGCAGCCACACTTTCAAGAACTGCTGCATTTTCTTTTTGATTCTGTCTGTAAAAGTGGAATGCTCTGCAATCTCACCAGGGGCTTTGGGGTTAGTTGTTTCTGTGGAACTTCCATTGTCTCAGCAAGTATTTTGTCTGCTGGTTTAACAGAAGCTGGTAAACTGAAGTGCAAATTATAGATTTTGAGCCCCAATATACTCAGTAAAACTGATATTATTAGGTTTTATATCATCACTTTTTCTGTTCACTGATATCATTAGCTTTTATATATTGTCTCTTGATATAGGTGGTCCAGTCCTTGATTGAGCTATCAAACAAGTCTGTTTTCCCAAGGAGCCAGATATTTTTAACCTCCTTTTGATTTCTATTAGTAGTTTATGCACAGTGCCAGTGCTGCAGGTTGCAGTTTTAGTTTCGCTTTCTTTAGACCTCTGCAGTCTATCCCACTGTATTCCTGGCTTAGGATCCCATCATCCTTGCCAATTGTTGAATCCTTGCTCTCCACATAACGTTAAGAATATGGCAAAACTGCACTGGCATAGTTGGATTCCAGACAACTCTGTTTATTAGGTATATAAAAATATACATAGCTACTTATGTATAAGCTGCTCTGGCAGGGTTCTGATGGCTCTGCCAACAGAAGACAGGGAGGTTCACTAGGTCTCCCAAACGATTTAAAGGAGTATTACCTAATTCCTAGACACTGCAGGAAAGAGAGAGAATGGTCTCATGGATAGGCAATTGAATGCTGCCCTGGATAATTGGATTCTATTCCTGCCTCTGCCACACAGTTCCTGTGTGTGATGCTAGGCAAGTCCCTTAAATCAGACTTTTCACAGGTGGTTGCTAATTGTGTGTTCCTCAGTATCTGGTGTCTGACTTTAAACCAGAAGTGCTGAGCACTCACAACTGCAATTGAAATCAGTGGGAACTGTGCTTTGCAATGGTGCCTGAACTGCTCCCCTGCCACGAAGTGCAGCTCCTGCTGGTGTTGCTCTGTGCCTACCCGAGGCTTTCAGTTTGGGGGTGAGGTAATGCTGCTGTGAAGCACAGCCCCTGCCAATGACACTCCGCCTCTGCCTGAGTCTTGAAGTTTGGGGAAAGCGACACTGTTGCCTGCCCACTAAACTACAGCCATGTTAAAAAGTGGGTAGGCATCGCTTCCTGGCACCCCCAGTTCTGGCAGTTGTGGCCCCCCATCACTTCTACAAAGGTTCTGGTGCCCTTAGCACTTTGTACTTTTATATATGAAAGTATATCTCTATTTTAGGCAGCGTGTGTTTGGTCCAAGAAGTCTTTGGGAGGGGAAAAAAGGAAGACAAACACTCATTGCACGAACAGTGTTCTTTAGGGGTTTTGGAAAATGGTGTCGAAGAGAAGGGAACTAACAACTTCTTAATCTATTTAGCATATTGTGACACACTTAGCCCCGATGACTCAAAGAGGTTCACAGTAGTCTTTAACTTTGTTTGAGAAAACTCACTTTATTTTTCCAACAGAGATCTGCAATAACAATTGAGGTGCAGGGCATTTACTTGAGATTAATGAGTGGTTAAGAGGAGTGGATGTCCCAAGGCTCAGCCAGGGGCCATTAACCACAGCCGGCCATTAATCCCCAGGAAATGCTCTACGCTGAGGTCATTTTGCTATTATAAGATGAAAATGAAAAAAGACATAGGCATGTGGATTTTTTTTCTTTTATCAGCAAAGTAGTTTCTATTGGTATGAATAGGGCATTCCTAGAGAATTACTGCCCTGTACTTTAGCCAATCACATTGCTTGAATCATCTTTCACATTCCATTCATTTTGTCATCTCTTATATTTACAGAATTCTTCATTTTCTCAGTGAGGCCAAAGTACTTCATCTGTCTTAAGCAAAAAAATAAATAAAGACAAGAAGTGTGGATAGTGAGAAAGTAATATAAACCTTGTAAAACTATTGATAAACAACAGGTAAGAGTATCTGAAACATCTGAAAATTACAAAAAGAGTGATAGAAATAATATGCATCATTATGTGTTAGGAGATTTTGTTAACAAATATATATTACAATAATGACAATTAGTTTTGAAATGTTAACTGAATAGGAGCAATAAAGTTGGAGAAAAGCAAATTTGGTTATGGTTTTCAAAGATCATGTAAATGCAGTTATGAAGTTGTTTTCATAAGACTAGTAAAATAGTGGTACAAATATTAGGTTTACAGAATGTGTACAGTAAGTACCAGGGATTTATAAAGGTCAAAGTTTTCTAGACGAACTATTGCATTTTTTGGAAGAATTATAACATAAGTGGATGAAGGGAACACTGAAAATGAAGTATAGTATAGATTTTAATAAAACCTTTGAGAATAGTACCTCATGAATACTTACTCTTAAAATTAGTTCATACTGATATTAATTTAATTCACATATGGTTCTAAATTATGATGTACTGCATACACTAGAGAGGACAGGGAAAAATTAAAAGGGAACTATTAAGATTATAAATATGAGCAGAAAATAAACAGTGGAGTCCCACCGGGGGGAGGGGGAGGGGTGAGCTATTCTGGTGTCCAGAAGTTATAGAAGAGACATCATGTCATAGAATAGGGGGTAATAGTCCCTGTCAATGGGCCTAATCCAATTATCTTTGAAATAAATGGAAAAACTCCCAATCGATTCAGTGGGAGGTAAAATGGCCTTATTTGACTCTAATGTGATTTGAGTTGAGTGAACAGTTCATATGAAACTAATATTTGACAGATTTTGACCTTTTTTCTTGAAATATCCATAAACAAGTTGCATTTATTCATTTACATTTGAAATTATTAAATTAAAATCTTTCATAAATTTAATTTACTGCATGGCTTTCCATTTAAAAATTGAAATAGAAAATTAAGCCTTTTATATAGCTGTTATTGGTGACATAAATCACACAGTTTTGTTTATGTTTTGTGGTTGGATGAGTGTTGTAATTCTTTTAAATACAAATTTCTGATGCAAATACTCGTGAAAAGAAAATTTTCAATTTGCTTTCCATTTCTGTTCAAGTTTAAAAATAATTTTCCTTGGTCATTTATGCTGGCAAAACTCAGTGAAACAAATGTTTGAAGAAAGCAAATGCAACACAACTACTGTAACAATTCATTCATTTATTATGGTTGCCAACTTTCTAATTGCACAAAACCGAACATCCTGGCCCCACCCCTTCCCTGAGGCCCCACCCTGCCCTATCACTTCTCTGAGGCC